ACTTGAGAAATAATAAATGCTGGTTGTTTTAAGCCCTTATGTTTGGGGATGGCTTGTTAACACAGCAATAGATAACTGATATAATCCAGTTCTAACAGGAAGTCTTCCCTGGCTCACTCGGGTTCCCTTCTCCAAGCTCCCTCTCTGTGTTTTGGACACATCACATCACTTTATAACTATTTAGTATCTGGCTCTCCCAAGAGATGGTGAGCTCCTGAGGACCAGGACTGAGTCTGATTCATCTCTCTCCTGACCACTCACAGTGGTCATGGGATGAAGTCCTTGAACACTTGCCAATTCAGTAAACTCAGGTGTCATTAATGTGTTCAGAAAGGATGCCTCTCTGAACATTTTACATGCAACTTACTCAACAAAGATTTTAAAGCACACGATATGTTCACAGAACAGGTCCCGGGCCCTGGAGTTGCTCTCAGTCTCGCAGGGAAAACTGACCACTACAATACAGCATTAAGGTGTCATCCGGGGAGAGGGGCCAAAGGTAAGACAAGGTTGGTTTGCCTGTCATAGCCACTGTGCAGAGGAATACCTTGGGATCATAGGGGGCTGGTGGATGAAACAAGAATCAGAAATGAATCAGTGATTCATCTCTTGGCATCAAGCCAACAGGAACTTTTCTTGTTCCAGTGAAAAAAATGCCAGGCAGAGCAAATAGCATTTTAAAGGCAAGCAGACTTCTGTGTGGAGCAATAAACATGGAGAAAGGAGCATGACAAGAGGTCATAAAGGAACTTTGTAGAATCCTGTGTGAGAAGGCTAGACTTAATCCATAAAAAGATGATCTACTCTGCCCCATAGGCATCCCTGTGTTAGCCCCTTGCTAACATTATTTTGGTACTTACTCTATGCCAGGCATGGTTCTAAGTGCCTTACGCGAATCAACTCAGATCATCTCCCGAGGCACCAAGATAAATAACTGGCCCCAGGTCCCACAAACGAGGAACCTGAAGTTCGAAAGGGTCACATAAGTGGCAGGTCAGTTCTCTTTCACCAACTTTGTTGCTCAGCTACCTCAACAAGGACACCAGCTCCGTTGAGCTGGACTTACCAGGAGGTTTACTGGAGGAGGTTTCCTGGAGGAGCCGGGACTTGAGCTGAGTCCTGAGGGTCAAGGGATCGGGGCCAGCAGAGGCCAGGAAAGTTTAGGGTGCCGGGGCTCCAGGGTGCTTTGAGAAAAGGGGGCAATCCAGCAAAAAGAACCACAGAGAGGACGCCCAAAACTTCAGAGTGTCAGCATCCAAGAACAGAGTTCAGCAAACCAGTGCCACCCTCGGGACAAGACCTAGCCCAACCTTTTCCCTCCCTTTATATCAAAAAGCGGCTGTGATCCAGGTTCCTGGATCAAGTTTATCAAAGTAACCGCAAGTCTGATTGAGACAAGAATTACTGTGGCATTAAGACTGAGATTATTTTTCTTTCTAGAAGTGATTCTGGACGAGGAGAGGAGGTAGAGAATGCTTTTTAATTACTTTTTTAACTAGCATTCGTATGGCACTCCAGCACTGACGAAATTATTTTCTTGCTCCTTATTTCATTGAGTGATGAGTGTTAACTTTCTCAATTTTTCAGATAAGAAAACTAAAACCTAGGAGGTTTACGAATTTAAACCAAGTCACACAGGTAATGAAAGAAGCTAGGACTCATGCCCAGTTATTCAGACGCCAAGTTCTATTCTCATTCATTCCTTTATTCTTCCATTCATTGGAAAAAAATGTATTGCGTGCCTCAAATGTGCCAGCCCCTTGCTGGGACTGGGCTCAGGGACTGGGCCCTGAGCACACAGTGATGATAAAACAGACACAGTGGGCCGGCCCTGTGGCTTGGTGGTTAAGTGCGCGCGCTGCAATGCTGGTGGCCCGGGTTCGGATCCCGGGTGCGCATTGAGGCACCACTTCTCCGTCCATCCTGAGGCCGAGTCCCACATACAGCAACTAGAAGGATGTGCAGCTGTGACATACAACTATCTACTGGGGCTTTGGGGGGAAAAAATAAAATAAATAAAATCTTTAAAACAGACACAGTGCCTCTTGCTGTCTCTTCTCTCAGTGCAGCAAACTGAAGCAGGAATACAGTACAGCTGTGGGAACCTCCATCCAGCATTTCTGATGGGACTCAGTGATTACACCAACACCTTTGCAAGGTGCTCCCCCTTTTATCTGTGGTTGACTGCTGCCATTGTCTCACTGAACACCTGCTTTGTGCTCGTCTTGTGCTAGACATGGTGTATGGACTGTAAACCCGAGCCCTACAGCACAATTCAATCCAGTAACACCTCCGATATGCTAAGGACTCAGTCTGAAATTACTTATTGAGCACATACTCTGGGCAAAGTGTTCGTTTAACAAATACTTATTGGCACCTCTGATAATCATAATAGCTCATATTTACTGACCACTTACCATGTGCCAAGTACCATGCTAAATTCTTTACATAATCATTTAACCCTCACAGTAACTCATAAGAGATAGATATTAGCTTAAATCAGCTTACTCAGAACATGCAGCTAGAAAGCAGTAGAGGCAGAATTTGAACCCAGGCAACCAGTATTTTCCACCACTACGGTGTCCGGCCTCCAACCCTGTGCAGGGCACTGGGGAGACAGTGGTGAACCACACAGGTACCATCCCTGCCCTCAAGATGCTTGCAGACTAAAAGGAAAGATAAACTTTAAATAAGTAACGCTCTGCTCTCCTTGGAGCTTTTACATGAAAGCTTCCCGAAGCACGTGCCTCTTCAAGCGGCCCTAGAAGAGGAGGCGGCTTGAGCAGCAGGTGAAGGAGGGAGAGGGAGGCCCATCCAGGCAGGGGAACAGCACCCGCGAAAGCTCCTAGGTGGGAAGAGCTTAGGCAGTCCAAGGCTGTGACGTGGCTGACGGCCAGGGCAGAGGGATGACAGTCGGAAGCTGAGGAAAAGAGCAGGGAGAGTGGCATAGAATCCTGCATTGTTTAAAGGTTACTCCAGCTGCCATAGAGGAGGGATCAGCTGAGAGCAAGACAGCGAGTGGAGAGACCCAGCGGGACGCTGTTTCACCTGAGCAGAGGTGCTAGCGTGGATCAGCCTGCTGACAGTGGGAATGGAAATGGACAGACTGAGGAAATACTTAGGAGTTAGAATCGACCGGGCTTGGGTGGGGGGATGAGGGGAAGGAGGGAGTTGTTATCGAACACAAACACAGGTTCATTTACCTGCCGCAGAGGAGGGCCAATGACTGGACCGTCAGGCTTGTGGCAAGGAAAAAGAGGTTTACTGTCGAAAGGCAGCCAGACGAGGAAATGCGAGTTAAAACTCAAACCCACCTCCTCAAAGGCAAAACGGTAGGAGTTTTTCTCTGAGGTTGTAGGTGGGAGAGGGGGAGCATGCGCTGGGGTTGTAAGGAGGGGAGGGGAGGGGAGCATGCATACGCTGGGGTTGTAGGAGGGGAGGGGAGCGGAGCCTGCGCTGCGGTTGTAGGAGGGGAGGGGGAGCCCGTGGCCTTGCTGTTTGGGGCCTTCCCACCAGACTACTTTGGCCTAGAAAACTGAATTTCTTTTCCCTTGACTGTCTGGACTTTTCTCGTTAGTTTTCATCTTTGACCTGTGTTTGGCCTTGTGAGGCTGAATCTTGATGGCTGGAACTTGACTTCCTGGTCATGTACTAAGGAAGTATATCCACTCATATACTAAGGAAGGATTAGTTTTAAACAATAGTTGATTATGCTGAGCAGCACAGCTGCAGGTCTGCAAAGCTTATCTCAAAGTTTTTGCTCTAGGGAAGATTTTAACTCCATTTTCGGTTTCAGAGTCAGTCCTGGTTTTTGGCTTGAGCAACACGGTGGTTGGTGGCACTCTGGGGCCACTCTGGGGAGGAAGAGGAGAGCTCAGGTTGCATCCAAGGTGGCTGTGGATCGCCACAGGGAGCTGTTAAGTAACAGGCAGCTGGTTGGACATATGGCTCTGGAGCTTGGAGGTCCTAAAAGCGAAGGAGATAATCTTGAACAAAGGTGAAGAGCGTCTAGGACAGGGCCCTGGAGACCTCCCACTATTAAAGGTCATCAGAGATGAGGAAATGAACCAAGGGAACAGAGACATGGTTAAAGAGAGAGGAGGGAAGCCAGGAGAGAGTGGTGTCTATGAACCAGAGAGGAGTGGGTTTCAAGAAGGCAGGACCTGGTGTGACTGAAGTTAGCAGGGAATAAATACAGGAAAGACTGTGCTGATCTAGGATTTGTCCTGGGGGGGTCTTCATGAAGGCAGGGCTCCCGGTGCACAGGGGCAGGTGGGGGGAGTTAGATACACAGAGGAGAGGGCCTGACCTGGCATGTTTGGGGAACAGAAAATAATACCAGCAGGTAGAAATAGAAGGAGGTGGGGCCAGAGGATGCAAAGAGATTATAACATTGGTGCCATTCATTGGCCATTTTATGCTCATTTAATGCTCCCAACAACTCTGCACAGTAGGAATTTACTAACCCTTTGTTATAGAGGAGAACACTCAGCCCTAGAAATGTGAAATGACTTCTTCAAGTTGATACATAGAAGTGGTGATGCCAGAATTCTACCCTGGGTCTGAGTCCAGTACTATCTCCTCATGTTTCCATGACTCAGATGGCAAGGAGGGAAAGAGATTAGAGAGGCTCAGGGCTGGACAAGGATGGAGAGGAGGGAACACACTTGGAGAGAGCTGGATGCAGAATCAACAGGATGTAGAGAGTGCATATAAACTGAGGGCGGGGGAGACAGGGCCTCTGGTTGGAGCAACCAGATGGATGGTGGTGGAAATTTGCCGAGGTGGAAGAAGCAGAACATGGATTCATGAAAAGATAAGACTTTGACTTTGATGTGATGAGTCTGCTGGGCCTAAGTGACATCCGCGGAGATGTCAGGGGGCAACCAGATACAAGGTTCTGAAGGTCAGAACACTCGGGACTGTGGGAGAAGCGAGGTGCATCAGTGTAATCTTGAATTTTGGTTCTTTTTACCTTCTTAACAGCAGAGTTGAGAAGGGGCTGGTTCTGGGTTCTGGGAGAGACATGATGCGCAAGGGTGCCATTCCGCTGATGCAGAGACGACTCCTGGCTCACTTCTGACTCGGTTCCTCCCACAGATGGCTTTTCCGTGCCGCAGGTCCATGAAGAATCCCAAGACTCTGACCAGCCTTCTGGTGGGCGTGAGTTTCTTGGCCCTGCGCCTGTGGTTCCTCCAAGCCCCCAGCTCCCAGCAGGAGGAGATGTGGGGTGGCCCCCTCCCCGCTGCCGCGCACCCTTCGGCGTTCAGTCCGGGGCCCCCGTGTGTGGCCAACGCCTCGGCGAACGCCACGGCCGACTTCGAGCAGCTGCCCGCGCGCATGCAAGACTTCCTGCGCTACCGCCACTGCCGCCACTTCCCGCTGCTCTGGGACGCGCCGGCCAAGTGCGCGGGCCGCCGCGGGGTCTTCCTGCTGCTGGCCGTGAAGTCGTCGCCCGCCAACTACGAGCGGCGCGAGCTCATCCGGCGCACGTGGGGGCAGGAGCGCAGCTACGGCGGGCGGCCGGTGCGCCGCCTCTTCCTGCTGGGCACGGCCGGGCCCGAGGACGCCGAGCGCGCCGAGCGGCTGGCGGCGCTGGTGGGGCTGGAGGCGCGCGAGCACGGCGACGTGCTGCAGTGGGCCTTCGCCGACACCTTCCTCAACCTCACGCTCAAGCACGTGCACCTGCTCGACTGGCTGGCGGCGCGCTGCCCGCAAGCGCGCTTCCTGCTCAGCGGCGACGACGACGTCTTCGTGCACACCGCCAACGTGCTCCGCTTCCTGGAGGCGCAGCCGCCCGACCGCCACCTCTTCACCGGGCAGCTCATGGAGGGCTCCGTGCCCATCCGCGAGAGCTGGAGCAAGTACTTCGTGCCCCCGCAGCTCTTCCCCGGGAAGGCCTACCCCGCCTACTGCAGTGGCGGCGGCTTCCTCCTGTCCAGCCACACGATCGGGGCCCTGCACAGGGCCGCCCGCCACACCCCTCTCTTCCCCATCGACGACGCCTACATGGGCATGTGTCTGCAGCGCGCCGGCCTGGCGCCCAGCGGCCACGAGGGCATCAGGCCCTTCGGCGTGCAGCTGCCCGGCGCCCGGCAGCCCTCCTTCGACCCCTGCATGTACCGCGAGCTGCTGCTCGTGCACCGCTTTGCGCCCTACGAGATGCTGCTCATGTGGAAGGCGCTGCATGACCCCGCGCTGAGCTGTGACCGGGGGCACAGGGTCTCCTGAGGCCGGGTGGGCCGCGCTGGGGGGATGAGCAGCCTCCGTGTGTGATGTTTTCCGTTCTGAGAGCGCCTCTTCCCTGCTCTGGATACCTTCTGTCCTAGCCATCTTGGTGCAGCTGGGAATCATCTGGGGGTGTGTGTGGAAAATAGCTATGTCCTGGCCCCATCTCCAAAGGTTCTGATTGCAGTGGTCTGGGTGCCCCCAGACGTCTAGATATTTTTTAAGTTCCTCAGGTGATTCGAATGTGCAGCTAGGAGTGGAGCCCACTGGGTTAGCGATGTCTGTTGTCCTTCCAAACCCACCTCCACTGCCCCCTCTCACAGCCCTCCAGGGCACCTAGCTCCTGCACTCCAGTCACTGTGGGCAATGGAGCAAGAGAGGTGTGAGGGCCAGGATCAAATGTTGCCTGTTGGGTGCAGTACACATATGAGTCCTCACTTCTGTCATTTCCTCCACAAATGAGCAGAGGTGAGCTGAGCTGACGGTCATCTGATGGATCTCCCTCCCCCAGAAGTCAGTCTACACTTGGGCCCTGAAAAGCAACCCTCTAGAGTCAGAGCTGAGGGTGTCTGGCAGCCTTCCTCCCACCCAGTTCTCTCCCACCCCCAGTCTCCCTGTGAGGTCAAAATCCCCACTGTGCAAAGTCGAAACTGAGGCTGGGTCAGGGCAGTGACTCATCCAGGGCCATGTGGTCTCCTCCCCACTCACCCTGACCATGGCTAATGGCCTGTTTGGGTCCTGCTCATGCACACTTGCCTCACCAGCACTCGCTCCCAGGGGGCAGAGATACCTCTGCACCTTCGCCCAAGCGCTGATACATATACTCGAAATGTTGCCCGAACGCCACCACCATCCATGTCTCCTGTGTCGGGGGAGGCTGCCAGCTGTCCACCAAAACCTGCCAGCCCCTTCCTCCTGACACACTGAGACTACGCTTCCCAGCCCCCCTTGCCGTTAGGCGTGGCCATGTGACCAAGCTCTCTTCCGTGGATGTGTGTGGATGCGATGAGGACCGCTCCTGCACCCGGGCTCACCTGTGCTCGCATTCTCCCTCCTGGATTGGAACACTGATGGGCCCTGACCCATCCCTGACTTTGCACATGAGGACAACACCCAAGCAGATGAGGACAACACCACAACGCCCCAAGGCACTGTTGACATCATGGGTCGGGCAGTTCTTGTGGGAGGCTATCCTGTGCACTGGAGAACAGTCACCAGTATCCCTGTCCTCTGCCCACTAGATGCCAGTATCACACCCCGAGTCATGACACCCAAAAATATCTCAGAACGTTGCCAAATGTACCCCAGTGGGCAAATTCATCCCTGGTTGAGAACCGCTGGCCTAGAGGAAGGCAGAACAGCAAGAGGGTCTCTCAGTTGCCTCACACAGCACAGCTGCCCATGGACTGACCTGGAATACTCGCCTGAAACTATTGAGAAGAAGAAAGTAAACTTTTTATGTTTTTGAGCTTCTGGGATTTTGCTGGCTCTTTGTTACAGCGGCCTTGCCTTACCCCAGGTAACCTAACGTGTCCTCTCTGGTCCCTTGTTTCTCTGCAAGCAGACTGGCTGCTCCCAGAGGGAGGGGCCATGTCTGATTCACCTCAGGCTGGCACAGATTTACTCGGAGGGGACCAATGTCAAGTCCCATCACCACCACTTTGGGAACCTGAGTAGGCGGGCTCCCCTCTGATCCCCTTTCTCAACGGTGATAATCCATGGAGGGAGGGCGCTGTCATTCCGCAGGCTCCGGGAGGTGGAAGGGGCCAGGAGGAGGAAGCACCATCGGAGCGCAGCCCTAGTACCACCGGGAGTCACCTGGCCTCCCTTTCCCGGCCCTGACCCAGCTTACCCCGCCCGGTTCACCGGGCTCTTGTGCCCCAGGCCACCAGGGGGCGCGCTCTGCACATGGTTTCCGCGCGCAGGCTGGTGGCTGGTCCTTGGGTCGCTGAAAATCTGGGCCCCGAGAGACTGTGCTCCCAGCTCCCTTTACCCGGCCAGTGTAACTGACAAGGACCCCATGAGCAAGGGAAATGAGCCTGTCTCACTCGCAAACACGGAGGCAAAATCCTACATGAAATGCTAGCAGACAGAATGTGGCAATATGTAAAAACGGTAATGTATCAGCACCTAGAGGGGTTTATCCCAGAAATTCGAGGTGGCTTTAGCGCTAGAAAAGGAGTCAGAATATATGAGTAAAAAAGAAAGATCTGTCAATGTGGTACATCATATCAAAAGAAATGAGTACCTCAGATGAAGGAGGAAAAAAAAATTTTTAAGGTTTATTTCTAGGTATTTTCTTTCTTTTTTTCTTTGTGAGGAAGACTGGCCCTGAGCTAACATCTGTCGCCAATCCTCCTCTTTTTGCTGAGGAAGATGGGCCCTGAGCTAACGTCTGTGCTGGTCTTGCTCCATTTCATATATGGGACACTGCCACAGCATGGCTGGATGAGCAGCGCATTGGTCTGCGACCAGGATTCGAACCTGTGAACCCCAGGCTGCCGAAGAGGAGCACACGAACTTAACCACTATACCATCCGGCTGGCCCTGGACACAAATTTTTGATAAAATTCAATATCCATTCGGGGTTTTTAGTAAAATCTTAGTAAAAGTTGAAAGCATTTGAAGGACTTTCCTTTAAGATTCGGAACAAGACCAGATGTGCCATCATCACCACTTCTGTTCAACATTGTCCAAGACTTGAGAGCACAGCAAGGCAAGATAAAGATTCAAAAATATAACTACTTAAAAAAGCAAGAAAATTATCAAAACCTCAGAGATTTGCAACCCTATCAGATCCAATTTCCCCTTTCTATAACAAATTAATGCCATACTCCCTATCCTGAAATGAAATTCTTAGATAATATAATCTGTCCACACATATATTTTCAAAAAATCAATATAACTTTTAATTGTAATGTGAAAGATTAACAAAAAATACTTTAAAATAAGTAATGTGAATTTTGATGTGTCAATTCTTGCACATAGCAACCAAAAGCTCCCTTACAGATTTCCGAATCTCCCCCTAGGGGGCAGTACACCTCACTGAGAACCATTGATTTACATAGAAAACCCGCCAAAAAACCCACACTCAAAAATCCTACCGACGGGGCTGGCCTGGTGGTGCAGCGGTTAAATGTGTGCGCTCCACTTCGACGGCCCGGGGTTTGCAGGTTTGGATCCCGGGTGTGCACCGACACACTGCTTGTCAAGCCATGCTGTGGCAGCGTCCCATATAAAGCAGAGGAAGATGGGCACGGATGTTAGCCCAGGGCCAGTCTTCCTCAGCAAAAAAAAAAAAAAAAAAAAGAGGAGGATTGGTGTCAGATGTTAGCTCAGGACTGATCTTCCTCGCACACACAAAAAAATCCTACTGATAACTGATTAAATTAATAAAATGTACCAAGTTTTCCAAATACAAAATTAATGTAAAAAATCAACTTAGTTTCTATATTTTAGTAACAAGCAGTCAGGAAAAGTCATTTTTTAAAGTACCATTTATAATAGAAATAACAAGGTAGTTAGGACTGAATCTATAAGATATGCAAGAAAATAATGAAAAAGTATTTTAAGATATTTTTTAAACATCTAAATTAATGTAGACAGATGTCATGTTATAAAGCACCTCTAGCGCCCGACTTCCCTGGATCCTCACTCCAACCAGGGAACAGGGATCATAATCATCCCCATTGCCAGATGTGGAGACTGAGGCCCAGGTAGGGGAGTGACCGACCCAAAGTCCACAAGCCTGCTGGGCCGGGCCTCCTGCCCCCCATTCCCGGGCCCTGACCACTGCGCTAGCCACCGTGCCTGACGTCCACCATGCCCCGAGTCCAAATGCTGCAGCTGCCCAACTGGGTCTCCAGGCTCCAGAGAGGAGGCAGACGGCAACTTGGCGGCACACACACACACACACACACGCTCACACACACACACACACACACAGCCATCGCATTCTTCATGCCTTCAGAGGGAGGAAACCCTCCTCAGCCTCTCCCATCTCAATGGCACTGGATGCAGGAGGTGAGCATGGGGCTCAAAGGTGAGGCCCCACCTGTTTCCCCTACCCCAGTGCTCCACCTACCCACTGCCTCAAACCGGGAAGAAAAGAGCAGATAACGATAATGGGGAGACAGGAAGGCTGAGCCTGAAGAACCCTGAGGGATGCCCTCCCTGCCCCCACCTCCAGTGGATGGGAAAGTGCGCTCAGAAAGGAACAGTGACCAGCCCAGCCTCACACAGCCGCTCTGTGGCAGAGCCTGACCCCGGCTCAGAATCCAGCCCTGGGGAGGGGACGCTTTGGGGTTTGAAGTTGCCTGCCTGTGGGGCACAGAGGGGCATCACCACTCTAGTCAGGAGCAGCAGTTTTCAAACCATGAACTGACACCCATGAGTGGGTCGTGAAATCAATTCAGAGTCCGAAACACATATTAAAAAGAAATTGAAGAGAACAATATAGAAATATCAAGCGACTCACAGATAGTAAAGACATAGGATCATGATACAAAATGTAATTCTAATTGTAGTCGTGGTTTAAAAAAAAATGTCAGCGGGCAGGCCCAGTGGCGTAGTGGTTAAGTTCGTGCACTCCACTTCGGCAGCAGCCCAGGGTTCGAAGGTCTGGATCCTGGGCATGGACCTATGCACTGCTCATCAAGTCATGTTGTGGCAGCATCCCACATAGAGGAAGATGGGCAGGGATTTTAGCCCAGGGCCAATCTTCCTTAGCAAAAAGAGGAGGATTGGAAACAGATGTTAGCTCAGGGCTAATCTTCCTCACCAAAAAAAAACCCAGAAAACAAAAAAATGCCAGCAGCCTTGTAACAACAAGATTGCCAGATTCAAGATCAACATACAAAAGCCATAGCATTTCTCTAGACCAGGCATAGCTAGCTAGAAAATGTCATTTTTATAAGATAACATTCATGACATCTGCAACTTACTTTCTAATGGTTCATTAAAAAAGCATGAATGTGTGAATATATGTGAAAGAGAGAGGGAGGGAGATAAGGCAAATGGTCAAAATATTAACAATTGGTGAATTCAAGTAAAAGGTATAAGGATGTCCATTGTTCTTCCACTTTTCTCTAGGTTTGACAT